TTAATTCCAAGGACATGTTCATTCTTGTCATCGGTATGGAAGTGGTGACCATTGTCTTCTTCCAGAATGTTTTTTTCCCTCTTCCCAATCCTGCCTAAAGTCTGATTACTTAAATTTGTAATCAGGCCTAATGTTGTTTAACTTAGACAAGGCTGGTTAAATGCCATAAACTGCTTAAGCCCTCCTAAACACATGTCAGATTTAATCTAGAATAACTGCTAATTGCAATTCCCAGTTGCAATTGTCAGTCAGTGGGGGCCCCAAGCTATCCTAATCAGAGGATGATAAAGCCAGGGCTTTTTTCCTCATAGAACGCCCAGAACGGAGTTCAGGCACCTTTTTTGGATGGAACCTTGTAGGGTAGGCAAGGCGGGTTGTATGACGTGTGTGAGTTCTGGCACCTTTTTTTTTTTTTTTTTTTTTTTAGAAAAAAAGCACTGGATAAAGCTGTTGCCCAACACAGGAAGAGAAGTAAAGAGGGTAAATTAATTTTGTTCCCCAACATTATGCTTCAGTGTATCCATTTCAGGACTTTGGCCTTCTGAAATAGGAAATTGCCAGTGCTTTTCAAAATTGTTGGACCGGAATGAATTGCCTTGTTCAGTTTCTGTTTTCTATTTGTGTCCTAACTGGGGACTGCAGTGGTTGTGACATCACAAGTATAGCAAGAGCTAAACTTTTTAGTAACATTTTTGTATGGATTTATGGAGGCATAAAATGGGGTCCTGAACCTGATTTTGTCCCCAATAGTAAAAATTGGCTGTTTTCTGGGAGATTTAACCCTTAAATGGCCTAGACCTACCTACCTGAATGTGTAACTTCCTTGTACATTGTGAACCAGTCAACCTAGCTATATCCTCTTTAGTATATCTTCTGCCTCTTGAAAGGCAGTGTTGGGATATGTTTCCAACTACCTGCAGAATGTATTAAACGAATTGATTCAGACAGTATAAATGCCTGACCATTTACTACTGTCTGAATCAATTCAGTTAATATCATTCTACAGGTAGTACTCAATTTACTATTGGTCACTTAACGACCACTTAAAAATCCTACTTACGATCCAGATTCTGACAGCCTCCTCTCCCCACAATCATGTGATTGCATATTGGGCAGATGGCCCACATTTACAGCTATTTGCAGTCATGACTATTTGCACTATTTTTGTAGGAAACTGGCATGTAATTCCAGTTTTGTACATAAAACAAAACATGAACAATGGATTTGCTTAATGACTGTGGCATTCACTTTACATTCACCATGTTTAACAATCATGATTGGTTTTGGAAAAATCCTTTTGTTGCAGTAACTTCCTTAGTATAAACTGACTTTAAATATTCAATGGGGGTTATACTGCATATGTATTAATGTAATACATTAATTCAAATGGATACTTGGGAATGTTGCAGAGGATCCATGCTTCTTGCAGAATGCCAGACTGCGGAATCTAAAATATTTGCGCCTGCAATTGTGGCTGCTTTAATTGTATGAATTGCAGATAATTATTTTAATGTTAGTTCATTTTTTCCCCAAAACATTTATTGAGTTTTATAGGGTTGGGGATAGAATAGGATCAGGATAAGGATTAAGATTTAGGGTGGGGTTGGGATCAGGATTGGTGTTAGTTCATTAATGTTTATATGACTTTTATGTGAAATGAAGTACATGTATGTATGAATTTTGTAGCCATATAAATATATTTAATAAATAAATAAAACTTTAAGTAGTGGCTCAGTCAAATCAGACTTTCATGTTGCATTAAAGTGATATGGTCAACTGGAATTTAGAAAAATATGAACATTTCTGAAAATATTAAGGTTCATATAAATATAATGATGATCTCATACTTTCCAGCCTTTGGATCAATAACAAAGAGATAGGAGTAGCTCTCAGCCATAGTTGAGAAGCATTTTATAAGTTTATTGTTATAAGTTTCTATATACAGTAGTAGGACTTCTAAATATGTCAGTAATGTCAAGATAATTCCATTTTTTAATAAAAACTAATGAGTTCTGAAGCATATCAGCTAGTTGTACAATTACAGGTAGTCCTCAACTTATGACCACAATTGAGCCCAAAATTCTTGTTCCTAAGAGAGACAGCCACTTAAGTGAGTTTTGCTCCATTTTACTACTTTTCTTGCTGCAGTTGAATCACTGCAGTTGTTAAGTTAGTAACAAGGTTGTTAAGTGAATCTGGTTTCCCCCATTGAGTTTGCTTGTCAGCAACTTTCAGAAGGTCATTACATGATGTGGGACAATGCAACCATCACAAATATGAGTCAGTTGCCAAGCATTTTAATTTTGATCACATGATAATCAGGATGCTGTAACAATCATAAGTATGAAAAAAAATCATATCACTTTTTCAGTGCCGTTGTAACTTTGAACACTCACTAAATGAACTGGTGTAAGTTGAGGACTATTTGTATTTTGCAAGTATATAATTAACTCAATAAACCTGAGTTAATTTCAGAGCTATAACAATTTTCTTCCCTAATACTATTAAATGAAAATATTCTGTTCTTTAAACTAAACTATAGTATCCAACATCCCTCATAAGCATGCATGGTGGTTACTCTAAATGCACTACAGAAAGAATCTAATTTAGTTGGGATACTGGGCAATTTTCTGGACAATTAATAATAATAACAGATTGGGCTTCCATTATGAACTAAGTGGTAATTAGTTTTAAGATGAATCTACAGTAATATCACTGTTTTTGAAGCCCTTTATCCTATGCAAGAAGACTGAAAGTGTGTATTTTCCTTTATTTAACTTTATATATTGAATGTCTCTTAAAAACAAAAGTTGTCATCAGTGAACACAATACCATTTTTACAATGACTGTTAACTGATTGAAGTATTAACATAAACCATCTTTATTCACTACTTTGAATTTTAGATTCTGAGATCAATCCTTTTTGGTATGTGGGCCGTGGCGTTCGACCCATTGGTCGATTTGGGAAGAGGCAACTCAAGTTTGGACAAAAGAGGTTGAGGCCTGTGTGCTGCAGTTCAGCTCTGATACTCAGTGCTCTACAGGAACAAGAAGCAGCACAAGATGATGAATGGTTACTTTGAGTCTTAATGAAAAGAAAAAAAAATCACAGTTGCTTTTCTCTGTTGAAATACCACCTCCTTTCTTCTGGCTCTTTAGCTGCAAGCTATTTCATACACAAACGATAAGCATTTAAGTACAAAACTTTGTAATTAAAGCTAAAAAGGTATTCTATATGTAAACTGTATGTAGGAGGAAAGAAAGAAAAGGCATTTTTGCTTGTTAAGGATTTGATCCCATTTCAAGAATCTTGTAAACCAGGGGTGCGCAGCATGCCAGCAACCGGTCCGCGCAAAAAAGCAAAGCCCCATCCGTGAGATGCAGGCAGCACACAAAATCATGCCCCCTCTGGTCCGCAGAAAAACCTTTTTCCACAGAACCGGTCCCTGGTGCCCAAAAGGTTGGGGACCTCTGTTGTAAACCATACTTATCTGGACATTACCAAAGGCAGATGCATACCTATCAATGGATGGGTTGCATGCTGTATTCAGTACGCTATTTGTGAAGGAAAGGGAAGTATGGATTCAGTCCCAGTAACCTCTTAATGCTTCAAGCTGGTTGACTATAATTACCATTTAAAATGGATTATGAATACAGTATACTGTATAAGATATTATATTAATAAGATTTAACTTCAGAGAACCCATTTGTTTATACAATAAACAACAACAGTTATAACTCATATTAATTTGGAAAATCTCCCATATAGCTCAGCTAAAAAAAATGGAAAATGTTATAGCTAATATATGCTATGGTTTGTTTTATGCTTAAGTATGTAATTAAAAATGAATAAATAAACTGATAAAATAGCCATTTATGTGATGTTATTTTGATTTGTTTTAGGCTTGTTACAAATATTGACATATAAAACAGGATGACCTCTGAAGTAACAGAGTTTAGGTACAGATTCAATCTGTATACAAACCTTACAGGAATGAAGCCTATACAAGTTGGATCCAAAACCAGACTAGTTGTGAGCATACTGTTTAATTCTCTTCAACATGACAATTGAGGAGTGATAGTACCGGAGCAGCTTTGGAAAAGTAGGAAACAAGTTCCTATTACATACAAGAACCCAAAAACCAAATACCATTGACAAGAAATTTATATCAGATGGTCTTGGTTACAAAGTTTCCAAACTCTGATGTAAGAACTAGAAACCTTATTGCCTCAAAATGAGAGTAAAAGTCTAGGCCAGGGGTAGGCAAACCAGCTCATCTTTTTGAGCATCCCTTTGACAGGGATATTTTGCCTTTGGAGGAACAAGCTGGTCATATTGGGGAAGTTCTCGAGAAAAAAAATTGAGGGGGCTCCAATTTAGTTGAACAGCTTAACTTACATGCAGCATCTTTTACACTCTTCAAACAGATTGCTCGGTTTCTTATTTGCAACCTCTTCATCATGTATTGCATTGGACAGTGAAAAGAATAGAATGGAAAAATCAAGCTTTCAGTGCATCAATCTCAGCCTAAATATGATTGATATGATTCTGTGGCTTTGTTAGTAAGAACTATCAGGGCTTTGGAGGGACAATGATGGGTAAAATAGTTTGGTATATATCTGAAAATGTTCCTGTGTTAATATGGTCACCCAACATATGAAGGAATAGATACATACTGTAGAATGGATACATGGGATACATTAAATCTTTATGTGAGTCTAGTAAATTATTTATATTTCTAAACATTGAGCACTGAATCAGAAAATATGTAAATATCATGGGCTCAAAAACCTGTTTTTCATAAATCATTTCTTTTACTCTTTTGTCATTTCTGTTGACAAGAATTCCTGACAAGAATGCAGATAACAAGGCAAGCCTTAATTTCAACTCAGATTGAATCATATTGTCTTAATTTGTTCGGACATTAAAATATTTTTTATAAAAAAATCTAAATATAAACATTAATACTAAAGATTGAAACCAGATCATGACAGAATAATTATTTTATGTTGTAACATACACATTTTATGATTTCTTTTGAACAGTAAGTTAATTCTTTGCACATTTGGCACAAGTAAAGTTTTGTAAAAACCGAAATGGTATACATTGAGGGAGGGATTCCCCCCCCCTTTTTTTTGCAATGCCTAAACAGGAAACATTTTTCTCAAAAAAGACTGAATAATTTAAATTTTAAACACAGTAGTTGCTTTTCATGCCTCTTATGGAAAACATTCTATTCCATACTCATTTTCTTTATATCACATTAACAGAAAAAAGCCAAAATATATTATCTATTAAAATTAGTCATGTTGGATTCAATATTACACACACAATATTAGCTATTAGTGTAATTGAACAAATATGTAAACCACCTGTCATTTCATTCAATTAACATAGATCTGCAGAAAGTGGGAGTCAATCTTGCACAAACACTGAAAAAAGTGTGGATTGAATGTGAGTAATTTACAATAGTATAGGAGCCTAATCTTGCTGAGGAGCATTTACTAGGTTATACACTATATGGATATCTCTATATTGTAGACAAAATCCTGCCATTGGATTAGTTATTCCACAAAAGACAAATAACAGTTGCATGCTGTATATGACATAATTTTGTCTGGAAAAAAAGAAAAACCAAACAACCAAATACCATAGAAATTTTAGACAAGCAACAAGGAAATGCACAACAAAAGTAATGAAACTATCAATGGTGCAGTCCTATAGTTGTACAATAATGTCCTAGACTTATTGTAGTCAGAAGTAGCTCCAATTAAAATCAGCAGGGCTAATTTCTAGACATTGTTTTTAGTACTGCCAAATCTCTTTTTAAAGACGTTTCAAAAGTGGTGAAGATTTGAATTTTTCCTAGCTAATTCATGCTTTCCGGGTGAAATGAATGTTTTAAAGTGTTAATTGGTGTGCTATTTATATAAGTTCTTATGAAAACAGAGCACAAGAGTGCAATCATGTAGACATCATGACTGACTCTAAAGCCAAACATGGAAACTATCTTTGTAGGCATTCAGGCAAAATTTAAATTATTATTATTTCTTGTTTTGAAACTTCCAATATGCTCAATTCTGTTGTCTAGATTTTTGTTCATGCAGCTGATAAGATATAAACCATTGGCCAGTTTTAGTGATACCAGCCAGGGGAATTAATGAAATGTCTCACTTGTCTATCTTTTGGGAATTGAAGATACTTAAGCCAAACCATTTCTTCAAATTATTTTTGTAGAGGCTGAGCTTCCAAATCTGTTTTTACAAGCTTTGATATAAACAAAAGAGCCAAGATTATATATGCACTAAAGGGCACTCTCACATTCTGGACTTCAAACACAGGATTATACACTTTTAGAAATATGAAACGTTAATAGAATGATTACATATACTTTATAATTGAATAAGTTTCTATAACTGGAGATGGAATAATGCATATTGATTTGAAACCTGCCTTTTGGAATAGATTTTAAAATGCTAGATTTTGAGTTCTAACAGGTGAGATTAGAACCTATCTCAAGTGGGAATACAGTCTGCAACTGGCTTCACTATTTCTTGAGGATGGAAGAGATTTCAATTAATTTAGATGAAAGTATATTTAATCAGCAAATATATTCTTCTACTGATATGAAGTTAGGACATTTGTATGATGACTAGCAGAATATGCCATAGTGGAATGCAGGTAGAAATTACAAATGGAAAATGCTTTCTTTCTTATGCTTTCAACCTCCTTTCTGGCCATCCTGTTTCACAGCTTATTTCAGGATTACCAGTTATTCCTGGAATTCTTATTGCTCTGATAATGCCATAAATGACTGAACATCTGAACAGTAAGATCCCAGGAAATATGTATCACAGAATAGAATAGAATTTAAAATTTTCTTTTACCTTCAAATGAGACAATAACTAATATTAATTGAAGAACTGAGAATATCTAAAGGTAATGTCCTTTAGCATAATTGATAGAGTGAATAAAAGTGCATCTTAAAATATGAAGCCTTGAAACTTAGTGTACTTCCTGGAGTCTCTTTAGAACTTTAAGGCAGAGTTTTGATGAGCAGACCACAATAGTGAAGACTTGAACATCTTGAACATCTTTCTCAACGAGGTATCCAAACAAAGCCCTATTACTGAGGCATTGTAAGTTTTTAAGAATCTTTTTTTTTTTACTGGATGTATATAATGGCTGTTATATAAAGGCACTCTAGTGTGCAGCCTTAGGCAGTGTGTCATTGGCAGTAGAATTTTGTAATTCTAATACATTGCAGAAGACCCTATAGTTGGTTCCTAAAATAGAAAAGATATGAAGAAATATTTACTAAAACAATAAAAATATGGAAGATATTTTAAAAGACAGTTGCAAATAAGATTGGCCATTCTTTTGGGTATTCTCTTTATTTTTGTCTTATTTATATAGTATCATGCCCTTCCTGAAAGATTCTCTTCTAAAGAGGATTTAGAACCTCTTAGATTTGAATACTCTGGAAGAAAATCTTGAAGACAAATAGCAAACATCCTACCAGAATAGCTTATCTGGTTAACCCCAAGAGATGTCCTAGAACAGACATGTCAAACTCACGACATCACGTAACGTCACGCAACGTATCAGAGCTTTTTCACCATTGCCGGCAATGCGGTGGGCGTGGTTTCCCGATGACACGTCTGGCCCATGGGGGACAGTTTGACACCTCTATCCTAGAAGGACTTTTGATTCCTTTTGATTCAGTGTTGTTGGTTCACTCTGAGGCCTACACGAGCTGCCACCAGAAGGTCTAGACTTAGGGAACCATCTAGCAAATAAAATGCCAAAAACTTTATAATATATATATTATATTAATATCCTAGAACTACTTGAAAGTAAGGGTCTCTTTTAGAATAAGAGATTTGAAAATATTACTCACTTTCAGATAATCTTGGGTAGAGTTTCTAGGCCACCAGGATTTAAATATCCTCAGTAAAGACAAGATAGCTGCTGAACAGCATCTGTTTTAGTTTGACAGCTTATGAACCATTTATGTTGGAGTTATTGTATTAATGAAATTGGAGTGCCATCATTGGGACTTGCTGATTGGACTCTTCTCATTGCCAAACTGTATTACTGATTTTTAAGTTTGCTATCATTCATAACACTACTCCTTAGATTGTTCTAGTTTCATCTAGTATATTTTATGCTTTGATTTTGATCCTTATATTAGTTAATTCAATCTATGCAAAGAATAGATGTTGATCAGTTCTAAACAGGAGCATAAAGGTAGTTCAAAAAAACTACCACAAAGACAAAATATTATTCAACCACTACATCTTTTCTCCCAACAAGTGAACCAAAATGTCACTTAGATGATTTACCAATTTTATGATATCCTGCTATTTGAATGATGTGGCTCAAAATCCCTCTTATAAAACAATATTTTAATGATTTTTTCAGTTTAATTCAATATGATTTGCTGATAAATGAATTATAAAATTCAAAATTTGCACCAAAGTATCTGGCTTGAATAATATGAAACCTGAGGACTATATTTGGTCTAACTATGTTTATTGTTTAATTATTCAGCTTCTATATTGAATACAGTTGTAAGGTTTTCCAGGACAGCATATCAGAATGGAATCTATCATTATTCCTCTAATAAAGAAGGGGAGGACAGATGACTTGACATGACTGGATAGCATTAAAATATTTTTGTAACTTTTTTTTCATTTATCTCTTTCCTCCTAGTATCTGGGAATGAGGTGCTAAACTTTTATTTAACTCTTACCATCAAATCCTTGGCAGTGATCTTTTTTTCTTTTTTTGTTCTTTGTGTCAGAGATCCTTGGAGTATGAAATTCCTGTTAAATGTTCTAATAGGAACAACTGGAGATGCATCCATGTTTTCACCTGAAAAACATTTGTCAGCTTCTTTCACAATTATATTTGCATTCAAACTTAGTGTTCTTCTGACATTTTTCTTGTATAGGTGTTTCTGATGATATATTAAAATTGACAACTGCACAAATAGCAGCCCCTATTATAAACAAATATGGGGGAAAGGGACATTAGGAATAACAGTAGCTTTTCTAATCATGCAATTGTTCAACCTAAAATGAAAACATGTTTATTTATATGTTTTTACATAGGACAAACATTTTAACTTATACAACTATTACATGTACGTAAATATTTTTCTCCTTTGCTTCAAACTCTAAACAGTATTTTCCTTCTTCTGACACTTTATGCTAAAATATTGGTATCATTGTTCTTTGTACTAGTAAACATTCATTATTTATTGAGCTTCTGTATTGGTACTGGAAAACAATATAAGCAATTTTTTTGAAAGAGGAAAATGTGTGACCAGTTTAATAAACATACAAAAGGGGAAAATTTATTATGGTTGCAAAATTTTTAAATGCCTTTATCATATAGCTGAATTAATAAAAATATAGTTCAGATAGTCCTTGACCTATGACCAAAATTGAGTCCAAAATTTTTGTTGCTAAGCAAGATTGTTGTTAAGTGAGTTTTGCCCCATTTTATCACCTTTCTTGTTAAGTGAATAACTGAAGTTGTTAAGTTAGTAACACGATTGTTAAGTGAATCTGACTTCCCCGTTGACTTTGCTTATCAGAAGGTCACAAAAAGTGACCATATGAGCCTGGAACACTCAACCATCATGAATATGAGTCAGTTGCCAAGCATCTTAATTTTCATCATGTGACCATGGGGATGCTGCTATAATCATAATCATGAAAAACATAAGTCAGTGCTGTTGTAACTTTGAACAGTCATTAAAACAAACTGTTGTAAATTAAGGACTACCTAAATTTCCAGTTCACTAATTTTATTAAAAACTCAGTTTTATTCTTGTTGTATTCAAACAAAAGCATGTTTCAAAGATATATATTAGTATACAAAACACTTTGAAATCTGGAAAGTCATATTTAAAATAACTATTTCAGATTGTTAAAAGTGATTTTGGCTAAAGGACTTTTAGATATTTTTTTAATTTGTAAATTGCACAGAATCATGGTGTAGAAATATGATTGACTAATAAATAAATAAATAAAATTAAGAAACTTCCTAGGAACTAGAATTTCATCATATTCCTTTTTAACAACTGCCTACTTGGAGAAAGAAATTGAAAATCTATCTCTAGTGTTCCAAACTGGATCAAATAGTATCCAAAAGAATCAGATAAGTTGCATTAATAAAGTTGCACTTTCAAAGGAAAAATAAAAATGTGTTTTAAATGTTGATTTGTTTATTTGTTTTTGATAACTAATTTGAGAAATGCAGTGCAGTTTTATATTGGGAAGAGAATATATAGACCAATGTTTTGCACTAATATGGAGTTGAAGGCTGATATTGTTTGGTCAGCAGTAGCAGTATATGATGGAAATAAATCATGCGTAAGAATAAATGGAATGTTTAGTGAATGTTTTAATATAAAAAAGAGAAAAAGACAAATTAAATCCAAAATTTTGTTGTTGTGGTTGTTGAATAATTTAAGAAGTTTCTTGCATTAACACTTTCCCACCCATAGTCTAGGCAAAATAGGAATCTTTAGTTCTTTATTCCATTGCCTATCAAATTGATTTATCCTCAATACAAGGATTACAAAAATTAATTGTAGGAAGTTTTATATCATAACATTTAATAATCATTTATAGTAGATTAAATTAAAATGCTGCAAATCCAAGCTGCGATATCAACAGATGTTTTAATTGCAAATGCTTTCACTGAGTTGACCAAATAACATCTGTCTTTTAAAGTATTAAATGGATTTTAAAAATTATCATTGATTACTAATTGATCCCAAGTATAAATTCTAGATCCCATTCAATTTTTCCATATAATTCATTTTTTAAAAATTAATTCTGAGATTTGGATTTTCCATAGTATTAATTTTCCATGAGGAAAACTGCCCCATCAAATGACATTTCCTAAAAACAACATAGTACTTTTTTCTAAGTTATGTAACTTATATTTACATAACTTAGTTTTCTAAGTTATGTTTGAACATTTGAAATCTAATTAGTTTTGATTCCAAGGCAGTCCAATTAATTAAATGTATAATACAGTATATGAATATTGTAAACAAACACAAGAAGCAAAATTTCCAATAAGGGGAATTATGCAAAACTGGGTATTATTTTACATAAAAAGACATAGTTAAGATTAATAAACCCTTTTCAATAGACAGTTACATTTTTAAAGATAAAAAAACCAGAAAATTTATTGAACATTTTATTGCATTTTCAAAAATGTTGTAGTTAATGTATATCAGATTTCTGCCCCAAATGTATACTAATGTACAAAATACATTCATTTAGCCAAAGAATAAGGTTTACAAACTGCCATTTATCAAGACAGAGATAGCTTACTGTACATATTTTATTCGGGTTCAAAATGATTATCTGGGAAATACTGCATATGGGTTAAAAACCCCAAGAAGGATAATATATACATCACCTATCCTTTTCTCAGCCTGCCTTGAAGAAGTATTTTGCAAACTAGACTGGACAATAGATGGAATAAAAATCAGTGGTGCCTATTTAAGATTTGCAGATGATATTGTTCTCTTCTCACAAGATCCAAAAGAGCTACAAAGACACATACAGTACAAGAGCTACACAAAGCGGGAGAACCATTTGGCTTAAAAATAAACCTGAAAAAGATCCAGGTTATGTTTAATAAATTCACCAAAAAAAGAAAAAATATTATATCTGAAGAGAACTAGATGTAGTAGACCACTATATATACCTTGATCAATGGATTTCAATAGGAGGTGATACAATAAAGGAAATTGAATGGTGTATTGAATGTGGTTGGCAGGCATTCAGCAAGTTAAGCATAATTTTCAAGAACAAAGTCCCCCTATGCCTAAAGAGAAAAATTTTCAATCAGTATGTGCTGCCTGTTCTAACATGTGCCAGTGAAGCATGGACACTAACCTCACAATTGATACAAAAGCTATGAGTGGCACAAGACCCATGGAAAGATACATGCTCGGCATTACAAGACAAGATAGAAAGATCTGCACGTGGATTAGAGAACAAACAAAAGTACACAATATCATCAAGAGAGTAAAAGAATTGAAATGGAAATGGGCTGGTCACATAGCAAGAAGAACTGATAGCAGTGGATCAACCTAGTCATAGAATGGACTCCACTTGATAAAAAGCCTTCACGGAAGAGACCTAAAACAAGATGGATCAAAGACAACAGCAAGTATTTCAGGCCCAATTGGCAAAAGAAAGCTCAGGACCGTATTGGCTGGAAACATGCGGAAGAGGCCTCATGGATAAACAATGGCTAAGATGATGATACACAAAACTGATAATTGCTTAATATCTTTATATGTTTTCTGACACATTCTTTTCATCTTTATTTCAGAGCAACTAGTGCTCTGACAGTCTGACCACATCTGCTGAGTAAAAATGAGGTTTTTATTGTTGTTGTTACCTTTCATTGGTGGAGCTGGAAGTTTTCGTCTCTGCTGTCTGGATGTGTCTATTGTATGCATCTATAGGAAAAAATGCCTTTATTAATGACTTTAGTTTAATTCAGAATATTTATCTCAAAATATTTATTTAGTGCATATAGCTAAAATGCAATAATACAGTCAGACCAAGGAATCTTCAAATTAATTGCTATGTTAATTTTAAAATATTTTGGTTTAAATAAAGTATATGTTGAAAAACCTAGAGCTGCATTTACTGTATATTGTTGTTACAATTTACTTAACCTATTATTTTTTGTCAGCTTTAGCTTGTTTTTCTTCTGTGTATATTCTGTGCATTCTCCCAGGAAAAGAGTGGTAAATAAGCAGAATGATAAGTAGCCCTAAGTAGAAATATATTTCCCATTCTACATTGTGTGTATATTTTACTGGGGACTCATATACATTCGATTGGACAAGATTTCCAGGAATACGGAAACCTACTTTAGTTCACAGGTTTGTGGCTATTGGCGGGTACTTTTCCTCACCTGACTTGTCTGGTGATCACGTCTTCTTGTCAAATGAACATATGGAGCCACATTCAAGCCTGCTACTGAAAGGGCTGAAATTCTGCTCTCAATATCTGAAATCTTAAAAGAACTATACATTTTTAAAAGAGAATGAAGGTAAATGAAGAAGTGCAGATTACTGAACTGTACATCTTTAATTGCAATCACACCTATTTAAACTAGATTGTTTATACTCCAGTTTCTATTTCTTTCTGGACTCTTAATATTCCTCTTTAATATTTACCTATATAAACCATACATTTTTCTTATATATATATATATATGTATGAACAATGAATTTATATCTGGAGTTTAAGTAGCAAACATATGCAAATTATGAAGGCCATGCAGTAAATAGCTTGTTGTCAATATTACCTGAAGCTCTGCATGATGAACTTGTGCTGCAGCTGTTGCCACTTGGTCCTCTAGATCAGTCAGTTCAGCTTCTGCAGTAATGCTGTTAATTTTACGAGTTGCATCCTCAAGTTCATTTAGCTGACTCTCTAGGCCATACACACTGCCAGCTGCCAGGTAGACCTAAATAGACCATGCACAACTATCAAGTTATAACCTTCAGATTTGTGGAATCTTGTAAGCATTACAGTTTTAAGTTCCAACTCAAACAATGTATTTATATATTACTTAATTACTCTTAATGAGGTACTGTATAAAAGATGATCATCCTAAGAATGTTCCCACTTATATGTTGACAATACTAAATATTGGAATACAAGAATAGAATATTATGAGGAAAGGGGACAAAGGAAAAAACATAGCTTCTACATAGATAAAAGATAAAACAGAGATTTAATGTGAAATGGTTCCAATGGAAACCATGAACAAAGGAAAAGGATTAATGGAGAAAAGTTATACAGGAACCAAGTAATTAATAAATCTGATATATAATCTGTGAGGGATTTTCAATTTATAAATAGACAAACAAAATTAATTTTTAAAACTGATATAAGATGTGAAATAGAGAGATAGAGTTGCATCATTGTGAATCATTGCATGGTTCCTTATCTATTTTTGACCAAAAGTTGTAGATGAGGCAAAAGGTTAAAGATAATCTATTTCTGATCAAATTTGAGCTTCCCAGCTCTATTTAAAGTAATTTTAGTTGATATTCCAAATGAAATGCTCCCATTTTCTACAAAATTTAATGGCACGAATAGTTATATAGATATAGTTACTTATCTGCCACTCTTACATTTTCTTCCAACATTGTGAGCTGCCCATCAAGTTTGATAAGGTTTGTGCCTAATGGGAATTCTCTGTTCCCTCTTTCATATGTTTCTTCTGGGAAATCACATGGCTTTATGGATTCTGCAATGAATTCCTCTGTTGCATTGATTACTTTTAGGACTTCAGTAGATATGTTGCAGAGAGAGGCTGCAGAACACTTCTGTTTTAAAGATAAAGAATGGATACTAGAAAAAAACTAGTTTATAAAAACTACATTGTTTTCTATTGGATGTGTGAATGGATGGATGGAAGGATAGATAGACAGATTTATAAACAGACATGCAGGCAGGAAGCCCAAAGGAAACTACTGCCTACTATAATCTTTTTTTTGGGGGGGGGTGTGTCTCATTATATATATATATTATCCTGTACAGAGTGATCCCTTCAGTGTGAGATAGTCATAGAAAATATTGGATTATCAGTCAGAAGATCAAGTCTGCTCTTCCCTATGGAAGGTCACTGTAATTTGGCTCAGCCTAACTTACCTCACAGGATTGTTATGGGGGAGAAAAAGGGGAGTGAGAGCTATAAGAAAAATTAGAATATATATAAAAAATCTCTTCTCACTTTTATGGGTCAAATGTGTCTTCCTCAATCTCAGATTATTTACCAGAAGCCTGGAAATTGGAAGGTTCTATGTAATATCTTAGCTGTTCCTAATACTGCACTCTTCTGGACAGAGAGCTCTGATATTGTTCCTGGGTTATGTTAGGCCATTTTCTCCTTATGTGCAGGTATACACACACACACACAAACACACACACACACACAGAGAGAGAGAGAGAGAGAGAGAGAGAGAGAGAGAGAGAGAGAGAGAGAGAGAGAGAGAGAGATCACATGCAGGTATGTATGCAGGTAGAAGCAACGGATGGAAACTAATCAAGGAGAGAAGCAACCTAGAACTAAGGAGACACTTCCTGACAGTTAAAACAATTAACCAATGGAACAACCTGCCTCCAGAAGTGGTGAATGCTCCAACACTGGAAATTTTTAAGAGACTGGACAGCCATTTATCCGAAATGGTATAGGCCAGGGTTTCCTGCCTGAGCAGGGGGTTGGACTCAATGACCACAAAGGTCCCTTCCAACTTTATTATTATTATTATTATTATTATTATTATTATTATTATTATTATTATTATTATTATTGTTGTTGTTGTTGTTGTTGTTGTTGTTGTTGTTGTTGTTGTTGTTGTTGTTATTGAACATTTGTTCTCATAAAGGAAATTACAAAAAAAGAAACATAATTATTTAATAGTATCTGCATAAGAAAACTGATAACCACTGAATTCAGAGAGATATATTTGACAATCAAATCAATACCACATTTTAGGCTCTGCATATTTAAAATATTTGATTTATCCTTTCTTCAATTGTATTTGCCATACGACCTACGGCCTTCTTACAATGATAATGCACAATAAAAACAAAACAATATATATTTAAAATAATAATGCAAATTGTAAAATGTGTTTCAACTTCATTAGTTTCCTTTTACTTGCTTTCCAGAAAACTGTACTCTGGAATCCCCTAAATTTTTCATCACACAGAAGTGAGGTACACAATCATACCAAGCTACTGTCTGCCTAAATGGATTGTTTCATCATAAACAAAGAGGTTTAGGTTTAGGAAGAATGATGCAAACAAATTTGGCAAACTCCTTTCAGCAGCAATGACACAACTATGGGGATGGAACATGAGGATATACCTAGCTGTAAAATCCAAAAATGGGTGGCTGGTCGAATAAGAGAGAAGATCCCATTTCAGCATTGCTCATGCCTCGGTTCCTACTTTTATTTTAATTTTAATTCCTGTTAATTTTAATATTTTAATGTTTTTATATTTGGATTTTTATTGTATTGTACTCTATCCCAAGTCACTTTGCATAGTGAGATGGGCAACATATAAGTTTATAAATAAATAAAATAAAAACAATTAAACAAGTTTTGAGCATTAAAAAGTAAATGTTTTTCACAATGATGGGTGAATCATTTAAAAAGAGCAAGAGAGTGGCCATAACTACATGGCTGAAGCTACCATCTTGGTTTTTTTAACTCGTACCTACAGAGACCCCTGCACCATTACTTGTTAGCATACTGTTATATTTTTAAAGTTGCTTTAAAAACAGCTCTCTGTTATATGGATTAACTGTGAAGACAATGAATCACTGTGATTAAGGAAAATAAAAGTAGAAGCAGCATATTAGAAATAATAAGACCTTCCTCATTTTTGACAAATATTATAGTGATAATTGAACTTAGGTAGTCACCTTTTCTCTATAAAAGTTGGATGGCACCATGCTTGAATTATAATATATTTCTGTACACTTCTGAACAAAACATAGTTTTCCATATTTTGCATTTACTTTTATGAATGCCATTTAGTATGAAAAATACCAATAATATTAAAGGAAGAAATCAATTCTACTGTATTGACGGCCTGGGGAGAGGGATAGCCTTCACATTTACTGAGTTAATTAAAAAAAAAGATGCTTTAAAGTATTCTCACTGCCAGTTTGGTCAATATTTAAAGACATCTCCAACCCAGATTGCCATTTTTTCAGGTAAGCTGGCTCTTGAAAGCTATTTATTAAGATTTAGATCTTTATGTCTTGCTGCAGTAAGAGAGGAGGAATGGCCATCTATGTCAGAACTGAACAGCTCTCCCTTAACATAGAGGGAGAAATATGATACTACATATCTCCTGTCTACAACACAGTCCTTTCAGCAGATCCAAGAAGATTCCACACTCATTTGTTCCTGAGGGCACAGATAACCCCCCAAGTGGCCTCTAAATCTCTCAGAGAGAGATGACTAGATGACTGCAAAGAAATATGATCTTTCTATTCCCCCCCATTCTGTCAGAACCAATCCTTCCATTCTCCCCACACCATCCAATTGATGAAGCCTTTTGGATGAGAAGTGAAATGTCTTCTTCCTCAAGGAAAAAACGTACTCAAGTTGCTTTTTGAAAAAGATAGAGTGCTATACTTGGTATACTTTCTGCAGAAATAGTATAATCCTATAGATTCCGTTAGAAATATGATTCCAGGAAACTTTTGGCATGTTATTATTTATATGAAGTTTCATTTGATGCCAAGTAAATTCTAAGCAAAAGATGGAATCTCCTACATTTGTCACATTCAACTCTGAAGTGAGTTGTACACACATAACAAAATGCTGTCTGAATTATCTGGCCTAATTAAAGAGATTCTGGAAGAATGATTTTAAAAAGTTATAGGATCCCTTCAGCAGCAATAGCACAAAGTGTGGGAATGGAAGACAGGGATAGGAAATGCCTGGAAAAGCCACACTGTGGCCTGCACATACTTTCCTAGTAGCCACTATGTGGTTCCCAACAGTTTCACATTATATTGTTGAAATTTGTGAGCAACGTAGCTAAATATGGGCCATGTTCTGATTGTTCAAGGATTTTACAGGTGGGGAAGATATCGGTTTTCATTTCAAAGGCATCTGGCTCCCACATCTCAATTCCTCAACGAATAAGATAGAAAAGGACCCACCCTAAAGAACTGTTTCTTAGATGCTATTTGCTAACTTAAACAGACAAAAAGTATTATCTACCTTTTTAAACTCTTCTTGGAGGCATTTGCTATTGCTTTCTGAAGCTAAGCCTGATTTCTGGTTCTCATTTGCTGTTCTTAATTCTGATATCTCTTCCTCTGAAGTTTCTCTACTATTTTTCATTTTTATTGATAATTCAGATAACCTTGCCTTCATCCTTTCTTCCATAGAGAATACTTTACTTTGTTGATGTTGGTCGTCACAGCTGATGTTAATTTTTGATAAATCATCAAAAACCTTAAATAATTAAAAAGAAAAAGAAAAGAATTAAATCAATATATCTCAAAAAGAAAATAGTGAGATATGTAGTGTATCTGTAAAATACTTATAAAGAACTATTTATATGACACAAGAGCAATGCAGTAGTGTTCTGATAATTGCAACATAATAAATATATAAGCAAAAAATTACTTTCAGTATCAAATAGCATACATTCAATTTTCTAAACCTTAAAATAATCTCAGCCCCAGGTTTGATTTTGCAATTTAGCTTTTAAGATCATTATGATATCTTTCATATCCAATTCATAAAGACAGAACACAAACATTTTATTAAGATTTTTATTACAATCAGATTTTTTTTCTGGCTTTTCTTGTTCATCAGCCTTGAGAAAAATTGTTTTTCTAGCCTTCACTAGGTTATAGCTGAGCCTCACATCGGATTGGCATGCTTGTAACAGTTGCAGAGAAAGAGTAAGTGGACCCAGGTATGGTGGGGCAAAGAGAAGGCTGGTGATGAGGAGAAAGGGAGGAGGCCAGTGAGGGGGGAAGAAGAAGCCCAGTTTCTTGGGATGGTGGTGGAGGAGAAAGATAGTCAGACTTTTCAGGAGAGATGGTAGGAAGCTGGGGCTAGCTGGCTGAAGCCTTCTGGTACATGGCAGGTTTTCACAGAAAAGTGGATCTAGCCAGTTGAGACCTTTCAAGAGTTGTGGGGGGAAGGAAGAAGATCAGGCCACTTGGGAGTAAAGGGGGAGGAAGGAGGTTCGTGTGCTGATGAGCCTAGCCAGTCAAAGCCTTCAACAGGTGACAAGTTTCCATATGTCAGTGGACCTAGCTGGTGGAAGCTCCAAGCCCACAGTGTGAGGAAGAGTTGCAGCATTCCCATTATTGTAAGGATGACTGCAGTGGTGCTACAACAGTTGGAATTCTGGGCAGCGGTCCTAAGTCTATTCATTCAACACCATCTTAATTTTGAATGGTCATGAGTAGAAGATTATCTGTTCTAGATATTTAGTTATATGTATGTTACATGTAGGGTTTTCAGATTATAAAAATGGGATAGGAAACATTTCTAATTCTCACCGCTGAGAAGTAACATAAGTACAAAGTACAAAGTAAGCTGAACAGGAAATTAATCATTTTTTATATTGGCAGGATGTAAGTAAAAGGAAAATAAATAATGATCAAGTCAGACAAAAAATTGAAGCAAATCTTGCCAAGGAAAATTAATCTATTTACATAAGCCTTTTCTTTTTTTATAATCCTGAGCTACAAATATTCTATACAGGAAGATGCTGGAAATGGATGATAATTTTCATGACAATAGCAAAGGCAACAATTAATATGCATGGGAGAAGGCAATGGTAAACCTCATTGATTCTCCTTCAGTTGGTGATCAACAGAAAAAAGTCTGCAAGAGCAGTTTCCTACAGATATTTGCACTGAAATTTAATTGAGACATGAGAAACAACATGACAGACTAAAATGTAGCTGATTATTTTTTATAAATTGTCCAAATATAGCTCTAGTCATATTCTATATGCTATATAGTCAGCTATATAAGTGGCCTTTTTTACTTCCACGTAACTTTGGCTATTACATTCTAGAAAAATATTCTTTTCCAAAGTTGGTTTCATAATGTAGCAATGCAATCTGGCTATTTAGGACAGAATCACAACAAATAATTTCAGCAGAAAAAACAATTAACAGGAATCAGAAAAATCATGAGCATAAACACTGTCCTTGAAGCTTGTGTAACACATAGTACCAAATCCTATTCAGTGACAAAGTGTCAGATCAAATCAGTTTATTCACTGCACAACTGTCATTAGCAACATACATATATTCAGTGATTTTTTTTGTAAAAAAAAAAAAGGTACCGGAACTCACACACGTCATACAACCCACCTTGCCTACCCTACAAGGTTCCATCCAAAAAAGGTGCCAGAACTCTGTTCTGGGCGTTCTATGACAAAAAAAGCCCTGCATATATTCATACAGTTAATGGACCAATGATGATTAGTAGAGCTTTCCATGACTGGCTTAGATCATTGTTGTTTATGAAATACAGCAAAGATTTTACCATCTGTCCCCTCCCTTTTTTGGCAGGTTGTGATCACCAAACTTTGATTACCTGATATGTACCCAAGTTCCTGGGTGGTTTTGTGCAATTTTTGCTTTTGCATAAATCTTCAGAGAGAACACTGCTTTTTTCCCATGTCCTTGATGTCTTTTCAAAGTCATGATAGGTTTCTTCATTTTCACTACTATCTGAATAGTTTAAAGTGGTAGCCTGTGGATTAAAATTCATATCCAATTCTTCGTTCAAATCTTCTTTTTCCTCTCTGTATTTATTGTTACAAATTTCTTTATGTATTCCTGAGAGGTTAGATGCTATAGGCTCCCTTGAAGAATTGACAGGTGATATTTCTGAATCAGAGTATTCTGTCTCAATAGTAAACCCCTTAGGTGACGGAGAAGTCATAGACTGGTATAATTCATTGCCACAACTCCATTCAGCATTGTGCTGAGCTTCAACATAATTTGAAAGCTCCTGAGGCCTCTGCTCTAGCTTGTTCAAAGTCACATTCCAGTCATCATTCTCTTCGCTATCTGAGCCCATCTCATCATAAGCAGATACAACACTGGATTCTTCCTCCAAAGCTTTGAACACTTGGCTCTTAGGTTTGGCAAGAATTCGAGGACAAGGCAAAATGGCATTTTGCAAGGCTACCCAATTTCCATCTGTACTTTGTAAAACAGGAGGAAAATCTAAGGAAACATAAGAAGAAACTCCGGTATCATTGTTACTGAATTTTATTGATCTAAACATATTGTTAACTAGCTGTATTTTTCAATTACTACAAAAAGCAAAATGTTGGTTGCTTTATATCTTATAAATTTCAAGAGAATAATGAAATTCATATGAATTTGTATCATACATATTAAGATAAAGTACTGTGAAGATTAATCACAATTCAATCTGATAAATTTGAAATGGAGCTAGAGTTTTAATAAATGTTTTAAAAGTTTACAAAACAATGAACATTTTGTTTTGCAACCCACACATAGTATTGGATAGATGAAAAGCATACACTGGTATTTATTAATATTATTAAGAATTTTTTTGAAATCCAAGAGTGGTTGCAATGTGTATTTTAGAAATCTAAAATTTAAATCTAAATGGGACATATGTTTCTATACATGCTTGCACTTTCCTTTCAACTAGTACTGTTGACTATGATAAAGTCTAACAATTTGGCACTATATGGCTATTCAATGCAATGACAGGAACATCTTACTGTTTTTTTATTAATCCAGGCAGATTAAAAGCCAAAAAATATTTTTAGGAAAGGAGTCCATTTGTTGGATGGAACAAGAGTCGTGCTCTTGATCAACTTATTATCACATCATCTAGTATCCTTTCATTAGCAGAATTAATAACTTGGAATATCACAAATACTGTAGAAGAAGATTGTTGATTTGAATATAAACTTAGTCATATGCAGATAAATCAGCTGGCATTAATAAGACATCTATGACCAACTATTCTATTTACTGCAATTGGTTTATATTATGCATAACAAAGAATTTTAGGAGTAGGATGCTATATTTGATCTTAAATAAATGCAAAGAAGCAAAATTTTAAAATTCTTGAAAATTAAAGCTACAATGTTTATATATAAAATCTTAAGTAGGCTACTATGGGTAGGCCTCAATTTATGACCCCCCCCAAAAAAGATATCCATGACTCAGATTTAAAATTTGACAGCTGCTCTATCCCCATGGTCACATGACTGCATGATTGCATTTTGGGTGTTTAGAAACCAGCCTGTATTTAGAGCTGTTTGCAGCATTCCATGATCATGTGGCCACAATTTACAATGTCGGAAACTGGTATTTACCTTCTGGCAAAAAATGCCCATTGTGGACAATGGGTTCGCTTAATGACCACAGCTTTCACTTAACGACTGTGGCATTTGTTTTATGATCACCATATGCATTTAACGACTGCCACATGTTATAAATGTCATAAAATTGGATTAGTCATATGATGACCCACGAACAATTGGCATGATTTCTGACCTGTAATTCTGGGCTCAATTATAGTTGTAAGTCAAGGCCTACCTGTATGTACATTTAATTACACAGAGCTATTTTATTTTTGAGTCAGTGAAAGCACTGATTCTCAACTATTTAGTATATTCCTGGAATTCAAAATACTTTTCTAAACAGCATATAATTATAAATAAAATATATGTAACTACAATGGCTTTTTGAAAGCATTTTTTCCTAGAGTTTGAACAATCAGATGCCATTAGATGTGTTGGGATTTTAGCTTTGGTAATATATTTAATAAAACAGCCACAGTCTATTTATCCTCAAGAATAATTGCTTAATTTAAAGGCACTGAAAAATGCTTTAGAAGCTAATTGTTCATGCCAATCTTTTGAAATGTTTTTCCATTTTTTTAATAAATTATTACAGCTTAACTAGTTAAGTTTACACATGCATCAACTACTGCTGCCAGATCCATTTATCTCACAAAACAGAACCATAAATTATTTTCTCAGGTTTTAGAGGTTAAAAGTACAGAAATAATAGCTGAACAATAAAAACAAAACAAATACAACTTCCTGCATCCAGGAAGAGGATTATCTCATCTAGAATCAGCTTTCGGTATTAATATCTACAGGAGGACAAATTTATGCCAATGGATACTGCAGAGGATCTAAGAAATGAGGTCTTGGCAAGAGCAAGTAAATAATTTAGTCTTGGGTTATGTAAGGCTTAACTCTGGTAACAATAATACATTTTGGTGAAAAGAATGATCACAGCTTTACATTAGAATCGGGCCTTTTCATTTGCAAATTTCATGACAGGTTATAAATAATACAGTGTATTATTAACAACAATATTTGTTGTTAATGAGTTAATAACAGAACATATATTCCAATGGTTCAGCAGAGAGATTCTGAATTTTCCAAATTTATATCCTTAGAATATTTTACAGAAATGCTGTCCATTGTTTTCAAAATTCAGTAGCTATTTTAAGAAGAAAATGACAAAGCAGTGACCATTCTCAGTCTGCAGATTGTTGATCTGCCCAACTCCTTCTTCTTTCCTCCATTCTAAAAGACCATGAAAAATAGCTATTTCTTCTTTACAGTGCCAATAAATATACATGTATTACAGGCCTTTATTTGGTTCATTTAATTGGTCCACACTCTTCCAGCTGGGAAATGTAGATAGTCTGTGCTTTTGTTTTTTGTTTTGGCCTTTTGGTTCCCTCAAGGTAGATTCAAACATTGTAGATGTGAAAATTGGGTCTCGGGCTGTAGCTTCATTAGTCAGTGAAAATGCAGACTGGGATCTCTGTTAAAGAAAAAATATGTATAACTTTAGGAAATGCAAGCTTGGACAGGAGCCATTTTCTCCAGTTGCATCCAAAATGAAAAGCAAGACATATTTATCAGCCTTGAAGAAAAACCAATGATATAGACTGTTTTCTTCTTAGTCTATTATAACAATCAGTGCCTGCTTTCCCCTTTCATATATTCTTTTTTACTGTTGAAATTGTGCTTTTAAATGATCGCTAGGAAGGGAGACTGCATTTTTTAAATTGACTATTTGTTAAGCTATTCTGAAAGCCTTTCTGATAATAGAATTAGATTTTTAAAAACTAATTAAATAAATATTTGGAATACTAACAGAATAACATTCTAATATTACTTTAATGTATTTAGTTATTAATTATATACACTGTAATATACTAAGGAATCCACTCATGCATAGCTACAATAGTGCAATTATAAAATATCCATAATACAAACTTAAAACATCACCAGTCATTTTATAATAACTAAAATTATATAAAAAAGTTTAAAACATTACAGCAGAAGCGCCCAAGAAAACATTACAACATAAATAACACAAAGAATATCTACCGCTGATCCACAAAGACACTCCAGAAGAATGGAATCTTCACAAGCTTTCAGATTACCATAATACTAGAGTATAAAGCTGGAGCTGCTACAGAGAAACATTATTTCCTGGAACCAGTTTCATCAAAATTTTTAGCATTTATTATAAATTCAAAGTCATTGGATTGGATCCTTTTTTATAAATTATGTTATCATAACAGTTATCTTTTTGTTCCTAAACTTTTAACTCAACTTGGAAACTACCTGTATAAATTACTGTAAAAACTCTTTATGTGCAATATCTGTCATGGTTCTGACAGATGAAACTCTTCAAAGAACTTTGAGGTATTGTTTACCTTAAAGAATCTTTATTCAAGTTGCATAGCATCGGCATGTACATAGTCGAAGCCAAAATCTGGATTCCTCTCCCCTTAGCACATAGTATCAAACACAATTCTCTCCTCTAATTAATAGTCATAAATCACATTCTCCAATTAGTTTGAAATGCAGGCTTTCCCTCCTGTTCTCCAACCCGCCAATTCTTATCATCTCTTATTTCAAGCTCTGAATTCACACACTAGTACAATATTGTTATGTCTAACTAACTCCCATCACATTCTTCCTCCTCACCCAGCATCATCTAATTCTAAAAATAAAGCATAAAAAAGAAAAAGGCTGCATCTTCATATGTTGTCAAAGCAAGAACAGCAGCGTTGACAATATCCTTTCTCTTATTATTTTCTACACATCTGCCATTGATTAAAAATTTGAAAATGATGGATTCTATCACCAATGGAATAAATATACATCTCAAGTTCATGGGAAATAATGATTTCATTCAATCCTTTATTAATCAAATCTAATTTGGAGTACTCTGTCCAGTTTAAAAGGACTACCAGGATAATGAAGGACGCCTTCATTGCAGATGCATTGTAAAATATTTAACTTACCTTAAAGGAAAGGAATGGATTGTTTATATCTTCAGCAAACATTTTTTTAAATCTGCCAAACTAAACAAAAAGCTATAGTTTTATTTATCCATAAATTCTTCTGTAAAAATCTTCCTTGTATTATATTGTTGGTAAGAATCCTTCCTTCCTTGTTGGTGCCAGTGACAAAATAAATCAGCAGATGGCAGCAGAACAAAATTATAATTCCTACTCATTTGTATGTTACTTATCTCGTGGCCAAACATGACACAGTAAATTTAAAAATAAGAACATGAAAAAAATAAGATGGTTTGGCAGATAGCAAACAGAATAGAGTAAACACAAAAATTTAAAGTCAGCATTCTGCACAGTCTATTAAGGAATACAAATATAAAGAAGATCAGGAATTTGGAATGTTGTTCTAAAAACTTTATATTAAGGTCCATATCCATCCAAATTTTGGATACTTATATGATTCTGAAGACAGAATCCACACATCTGCAAAGATTTCTTAGAAGAAGTAAGAGTACAAAAAGCATTTGAAAGAGGTATTTTCTAAGGCATCTTTTGAAATGTTAAAGCAGCCATTTCTTTTGGAACCATCACATAATTCCTTCAAAGCCTGATCCTGGCAGTCTGCATATCACACATAGACAGTATTTTTGCTGGAACTATACATGTTTATATATAGACAGACCATCGAGCCATCTTGCTTTCAATAACTTGTCCCTGCGTATAAATTTCCAAAGTTCATTGCAAAGGAAACATTTAACCCCTTCCCTGTTGAGAAAGAACTGCTTTGAGCAATAGTGCATGTCTATCTTCCTAGTCAGGTGTGTGAATTAGGCTGTTCTCTAATTTACTGTACTACAATCCAAACTATTTTTTATAGAGTTGGGCATGTGTCAAAAATAAGTCTGAAAAGGTATTTCAGAATTCATGTGTACATAAGTGCAGTTGCATCATTCTTCAGGCTTTTATTGAATCCATAGACAAAACTGCTTTAAGGAATCTAATTAACTGACTCTTTAAGGAGGCTATGGCTTTATTCAGGCTCACACAGCAGTACTTAGGCTTCAAATACGAACTTGCAAATTGTCAACCTAGCATCCTAACCAAATGAGCCACCATGCTCCTTTAAGATATAGCTCATATCTCTTTGTACTGTATAAGTCAACAATTGAGTCCTACTTTAATGCTTCTTTTCTATATTTATATCATTCGACATTCCAATGTACATGTTTTTACACATTTTTATATGTCAGTGTTCGTTAAGTGAAAATACTTAACAAAAAAACTTAAGAGCCAAATTTAGTAGCTTACCCATAACGCATATGACCTCCTATGACTTCTTTGAAAAGTCAGCATGTTCTGTTTTGGGGAAACAGCAGATATCACACTTCTGTTGTGCATGAACTGTGGCCTTTCAAAGCCAGCTTCCACTTGCTCAGTTTTGACTGTCTGCTTCCTTACAATCTATAGAAAGTTGAACATGGAACTATACTGTATATACTAATATACTAATAAATCATTATCAGTAATTTAGAATTGTTCCATTAAGATACGAAACATATATCTTAAAATTGTCTTTTAATTTTTGCTCTAGCTCTTGAAAGCTTTTGATCACCACTGTCTAAATATACATACAAAAAAGTAAATTATAATGAATTGGATAATGATTACGATGTTTACAATTATAAATTACGATAATATATGGATTGTCATTTTCATGTATCTGAAATGTGGCATGTGAAATATAAGAAAAGAGCTAAAGCACCAGTGGTTGTTGATAAGCATGTAAAATAGTATTCATTAAAACAGATATGAAAGCATGTTATATAAGTCATAAACATATTAGTATTTTTGAAGGCATAAATAAGGGCATTGCAAATCAAATATTTATTATGGTTATAGAACAGCATTAAGTAGGGACATATAAGAAAGGGCAGCTTGTTCTGCTTGGGCCAAATTCTTAATTCTTAGATTATTTTGTCTGATCTAAAAGCCATATCATATTTTAATCAGAGTATGGCAAACATTTTGTCCAATGTATTATTTGTTATATATATAAATTTGTTTAAAATATAAATTATCATATGTTAAAAAGAGAAATATTCCAGTTTTAAATGTTGATAGATTTCTTTGAATTTTCTAATGCTTTGTTAAACCTGGTAAAGAGTTTGGATAATAATTTTAAATTAATGTCTGAAGAAAAATCAGGCAGTCAAACTGAATTCTGAAGGAAACAAGAAAGAAAAACATGTTTTGCGGTCAGAGCAAATTAGCTGTCAACAATGAATAGTTAAATTAGCTATAGCAACAACAGAGGAAACAGCTTGTTCATCTCTCTTGCTGTTTTATATAAAATTTAGAAGTCTTCAGAGAAGAGAGCACACATGCAGTTTGAAGATGCTGCTTCAAATCAAACATAATTTATTGAAAATGAAACCATAAGTCCATCACTTCATGTAGTGCCATTGCAGAAGACTATTATATTTCAAGGCATTAGTAATATATTTTGATTTTCTCTTCATATTAGGATAATTCTAGAAGTTTATAGTTTATTCTAAACCTGCTTATTTCTTTCATTCTTGCTAAAAAAAAAAGGGTGGGGGTATTCTTCAAACAAGCTACACTGCCTTATCAGAAGTTTGACTTCCCTCCCAGAGTTATCTAGCCAAAGTGAGATTTTGCCATTTTTTATCCAGGTAAGCAAGGCCATGAAAGTTTGTGTCAAATTTTACTAAAAGCTATGAAAATTGCTCATTAAGGTGGAGCCTCTGCAGAGACTTGAGCATTCAATGCTATGTACAAAGGCCTTGGATTATCTTTGCTACATGAAACGAGGCTCCCAGCAGCTGAAGATAGATCACCTTGTTGGTACATTGCTGTTTGATTTACTTGTTACAGCTAAACAATAAAGTTTAAATTTTTCTTACCGTTTAGTGTGTTCATTGCTTATGGATTCTCAAAAAACACTTTTGGCAAAATACTTCATTAGAGTAAGAATATCAACTGAAAGCTTGAAATCCTTGCATAAATCAACACACTTTATTGTATGTTAGAGTTCACTACTGGGAAATGTGATTAAAAATATTGTGATCTTACAATCTGTAATAAATTATGTAAAATGCAAATTAATATTTAAAATATCTATACATTATTGTTCTTAATGATAAATTCATCTAAACAGTGCAACCTTTATGTCATACCTTCTGGAGAATGGTGGTAGCAAGCTCTTCTATCAATTCTTCTTTATGATCTTGCAAGTAACAAGCTTCATGCTGTTTGTCCTCAAAAAGGTAAGCATTCATTATAAATACACAGAAATTTCCAATTTTAAAATGTGCAGAATGGTTTATCAAACACTATAGAATAAATCCCATTTTGCAAAATTAAATCCATTACGCTTATAATGGATTTGCTTAATTGTTTTGTATGTACAGTATGTGTATGTGTGTATGTGTATGTGTGTATCTTAGAAGCATGTCCAGGATTTGTCCACCTTTCTATGGTCACAGGAGATAGGGTATGCTTGTATACATATTTGTGTATATACAGAGCACATTGGAACATGACAATCTTTTGATTTGTTTTTGGAGAATACATTATTTTGGAAGACTCTGCTTATGGTTCCATTTGGGCATGATTAACACAGCGGTCAGACCTAGGAGCCCCTGGTGATAATGTACTAATTACTAAACACTCTCCCAAGGAAATTCCAGCTGGTCTTCCTGATGTCTTCTTTTAATGATAATTGAACACAAATCTGTTCAACCAAATATTTCTGGAGTAGCAATTATTTTTAAAAATAAATTTTAGTCTTGGTATTTGTATGTTTCTTGTCTTATAGAATGGGGAATATGTTGCCTATTTTTACTTGTGGCTACTTTGGAGAAAGAATATAGCAAATTAAATATTGCTGCTGTGATAATAAAAAAGAGGAGGAGGGAAATGGCATATGAATGAATAATTGAAATGATAAAATGTAAAATAATTAAAAATGAAAAAGAATACAATAAAATAATGGAATAGAATAAACTATAATAATATTGGCTTGTAAATTTACTGCCTTTGCTATTTGAGCAAAAATACACACTACCAGAAAGAATACTTTTTTTTATTAAATAGAAAAAAAATTCTTACCAAGCTGTCACTGTATGTCTCAGCTTTGGAAATAGCTTCTTCTATTACTTCTTCTGCAACATGCAAGGCTACAGCAACAGTGCTTAACATGCTATATCCTAGGCAAGGAAGTTAAAAAGTACTCATGATATTTATACAAGGGAAAAAATAATTGAGATAGAAATGAAGCCCACAACTGCTTTCCCCCCAAAAGGGATCCCCCCCATCAACAATTCACTGCTGCAAACCAGGTAAAGGTTTCTCCTTTCAGTATTATACAATATTTCTTCTAGCCAATGAATGTCAACTGTCTCACTAGGTTAGACAGCAAGAGAAACTCATGGGACATTTTTTTTTTTACCAAGAGTATAACTTTACTGAAGATTCCATGTGGTTATAGAAGTAGAAAAGTCTGTTCTAACGATTCACTCAAAAACAGCATAGGAAAACTCTCCCTTTTCCCTCTGGACTTCCCATTATCTATTGTCCCCCAATCATTTGCACTCTCTTTGACTTGGGAACAATCTATCTGCCTGAAATTCCCCAGCTGAGTGACCTTGAGGTGTTGGGTCTGTCTCAGGTTTCCAGTAGGCACACTTGCATTCTAAATTTCCTTCCCAAACCTCCCTTACATTCCAATGGATTCCCTCACTCCTCCCATTACAGTTGTCCTGTTGTAAGCGGGGCTGTGTAGCGAGTCAACCATGACAGTTCATGCCCAAAGAAAATATTTTTATTTTTAACACAAACAAATGTAGAAACCCTTTTAGTTATAATTAAATTACAAAACAATGTGTATGAATACATCACTATTAAAAACAATTATATTAGACATGCAATAAATCAAATTTTATCCATCAAAATGTTTTTAATATCCATTCAAAAATGTTGAAAACTATGCATAGTACTTGCAATGTAAGTCATTCATTCTAGAAGGTATACAAATCAATTTTTATTCAGCATACAAAACATACTATATTTTCATAGGAAAAAAGTGAGATATGGTGAAAAGAAAAAATATTTACAATAATATAAACAGGTTTTAAGTTATTGTCACTAATGACATATATTTATGCCAGGTTATTCAAATATTTTATTTACAGTTAAAACTAACAGTAAAATTTAAGGATCATTACCTTCTGTCTGTTTGTAGAAAACAGAATCACTGTCACATTTGCTTTCTTCACTTACTGTGGTTGCTTCATAAAAATGTCCTGCTTCTGGAAAAGAAAAACAGTACTTTCCAATGTCATCAATATATAATATCTGGATAGAAGGGTTCTCTTTAGAATTGGCCAGTAATTTCCAAACCACCATTCCATATGTGTTGCATTTTACCTCCTACAATTCCCAGCTAATATGATTATCTGGCAATTCTGGAAAATGAATGCTAATACACACAGAAAACATTTGTTTGGGAATGCCTGCTGTAATTCCATTATCATCTGAAGGGACAGCATTATACCCACCTTCAAGAAAAAGGTATAAATTCCTGTAATTTCTTCAGGAAATTAGCTATGAATAAAGACAAATCTAAACATTGGGTCCATCACATGATTTAAATATTGTTAACTGAAGTAAAAGATAGAACCTGAAGTTAAGAAAAAAGGATTGCACAAAAATACATAAGGAATTTTAAAGGTCATGGTTTCATGTGAAGAGAGATGTTTAATTACTCTTCCACTCAAATGGAAGGAGTAGACAATATTATTATTATCTTGCTCTGGGAAGAATTAAAAATGAAACAGATCAGCAGTTGGCACTAATAAAATGAAAAGGATTGTTTATGTAAATTTATGTAAAAGAAGCTCTCTCAAACAAATTAGAAAAGTAAATTAAGCCTACACTTTGCAACCAACATGCAATCTAGCTTAGCTCTTGGTTCATTCTTAAAATGGCCAATGAGACCTTTTCTGACTCAAAGTTCTTTACCCAATACATTATGGCAAACAGTGGCTGAACTGCAACCATTTGTGAAATTTGCCAATACAAATTATTGCACCTTTGACTTCTGTAAAAACAGAATATTATAGGTGAGAAATCCCAAGAACTGTTTATAATAGTAATTATTTAAAAATAATATATATTCTATTCTGTATAGCCATCAATTTATGTCAATGAATATAACAGGGAATATGTGCATACATATACTATGTATATTTATATGTGCATGACTATAATAACAGAATTCTAATCTGTACTCTAACTAAAATATTTTAAAATTAGAATTATAAAGTATTAATTAATATTTAACAGCAAGGCACCTCCAAGAACTGAACATGAATTTCTGCATTTACTGTCCAGATTGTCCTCGACTTACAACAGTTTGTTAGTGACTGTTCAAGTTACAATGGCACTGAAAAAAATGATTTTCACATGACCATTCCAGCATCCTAGGGGATTAGCCATTTTGGATCTAATTCTCACTAACAGAGATGAAATGATAGAAGGTGTTGAAGCCATAGGAACCCTGGGAGGAAGTGATCATGCAATATTGGAATTCAAAATTATGGAAGCACAGGCAATAGAACACAGTCAAACTAGAGTCTTGGACTTCAAGAGAGCTAATTTCAATAAACTTAGAGAGGGCTTGGGAAGTATTCCATGGATGAGAATCCTCAAGGGGAAAACAATTCAAGAAGCTTGGGAAATTTTGAAAAATGAGATAATAAAAGCCCAGTCTAGCAAAATATCAACAAAGAGGAAAAATAACAGCTCTCAAAAGAAACCAGCATGGCTGCATAAAGAACCCTCGGACAAACTGAAAGATAAAAAGGACAAGTATAGAAAGTGGAAAGAGGGGCACATAACTAAGTCAGAATATCAGCAAATAGCCCTAGCCTCCAAAGATTAAGTGAGGAAAGCCAAGGCTCAAAATGAACTAAGGCTTGCGACCAAAGTCAAAAATAACAAAAAAAAAGCTTCTTTCAACATGTAAAAAACAAGAAACAAGTGAAGGAAATGATTGGTCCATTAGTGGATGAAAGTGGCAAGAAGGTGACAAGCAACAGGGAGAAAGCAGAACTATTTAACTCGTTTTTCGCATCTGTCTTTATACAAAGGGAAAAAGCAGACCAACCTATCAAAAATAGTGCCATAAAAAAACAGAATAGAAACACAAGTTAAGATAAGCAAGAAAATGGTAAGTGAGCACCTGTCCAGCCTAAGCGAGTTCAAATCACCAGGACCAGATGGATTACACCCCAAGGTTTTCAAGGAACTGGCAGATGTGATCTCAGAACCACTGAACTATATTTTTCAAAGATCCTGGAGCACAGGGGAACTACCAGAGGACTGGAAAAGAGCTGATGTAGTTCCCATCTACAAAAAAGGAAAAAAAATGGACCCAGGAAATTACAGACCTAACAGCCTGACCTCAATACCTGGGAAGATCCTTGAAAAGATAATCAAACAACGAATCAACGAACACCTAGAGGCAAACAAAGTCATTATTAAAAGCCAACATGGGTTTGTCAAAAATAGATCATGCCAGACAAATCTTATTGCATTCTTTGACCAAATGACAAAATTAGTGGATCAGAGGAATGCTGTGGACATAATTTACTTGGACTTCAGTAAGGCATTCGATAAAGTAGATCACAACCTACTACTGGACAAGATAGAAAAATGTGGGGTAGAAAGCACTACCACCAGATGGATCCGTAGCTGGCTGACCGGCCATACTCAGCATGTGGTCCTCAATGGAACCACATCTACATGGAGGGAAGTGCTCCGGGGTTCTGTTGTGGGCCCAGTGCTCTTCAGCATCTATATCAACGATTGGGATGAGGGTATAGATGGGGAACTCTATTTGCAGATGACACCAAGCTGGCAGGAATAGCCAACATTCCAGAAGACAGCCTTAAGATACAGAAGGATCTGGATAGACTTGAACACTAGGCGCTATCTAACAAAATGAAATTCAATGGTGAAAAAAGCAAGGTTCTACATTAGGCAAGAAAAACCAAATGCATAGGTATAGGATAGGAGGAACTTTGCTCAATAGTAGTAACTGTGAGAGGGACCTCGGAGTCCTAGTAGACAATCACCTAAATATGAGCCAGCAGTGTGCTGCGGCTGCCAAAAAGGCCAACACAGTGCTAGGCTGCATTAACAGAGGGATAGAATCAAGATCACGTGAAGTGTTAATACCACTTTACAATGCCTTGGTAAGGCCACACTTGGAATACTGCATCCAGTTTTGGTCACCGTGATGTAAAAAAGATGTTAAGACTCAAGAAAGAGTACAGAAAAGAGCAACAAAGATGATTAGGGGACTGGAGGCTAAAGCATATAAAGAACGGTTTCTGGAATTGGGTATATCTAGTTTAATGAAGAGAAGGATGAAGGGGGACATGATAGCAGTGTTCCAATATCTCAGGGGCTGCCACAAAGAAGAGGGTGTCAAGCTATTTTCCAAGGCGCCTGGAGGCAGGACAAGAAGCAGTGGGTGGAAACTAAGCAAGCAAGGAGAGAAGCAACCTAGAACTAAGGAGAAACTTCCTGACAGAACAATTAACCTGTGGAACAACCTGCCTCCAGAAGCGGTGAATGCTCCAACACTGGAGGTTTTTAAGAAGAGACTGGACAGCCATTTGTCCGAAATGGTGTAGGGTTTCCTGCCTGAGCAGGGGGTTGGACTAGATGACCTCCAACGTCCCTTCCAACTTTATTATTATTATCCTCATGGTCATGTGATCAAAATTCAGCTATTTAGCAGCTGGTTCATATCTATGATAGTTGCAGTGTCTAGTGGCCATGTGATCAGCTTTTGGGGAAGCCAGATTCACTTAACAACCATGTTGCTAACAACTGCAATGTTTCACTTAACAACTGTGCAAGAAAAGTTGTAAAATGGGGCAAAACATACTTAACCAATGTCTCACTTAGCAGTATAAATTTTGGACTCAATTTTGGGCGTAAATTGAGACTACCTGTGTCTTGCAGTTCCAGGGCAAGATTTATTTGCATGATGACACAAAATGCCAACCTATTCATATACAATGCTTGACTCTCTTTTTTTCCTGAGATACAATAATAATACTTTGATCACTGCACCATAGGTAAGCCCCACATTTGTATGAGTATTCACGGTAGAGAAATGCTTATTTCAGCTATTTTTCTCTCTACCTAGTATGTCACAGCAAGTTCCAGTTTCCGAGCGATGTTTTCTATATAAATTCTTCAGAACTTTAGCACTTCCAAAACGTTTGAAGCGACTTTTCACATTATTGTAATACCATTCCAGGGACTGAGCTCTTAGAAGTCTGAGGGGGAAAAAAAGAAATTTCAGAAACCTTAGAATTACTGAAGTAAATGTACCATAGTAGAAATACTTTCAAAACAATTTGCATTTTTGAATAGTTTCAGGGAGGCTCTGTTTGCTTGAAAGTGAGTAATGTGAAAGACACAACATTTTATTTTTATTTTGTGGTTTGCTTTTGTGGTTTTTGCTTGCTGATTTTCAAGTTGAATACATTTGTTACATATAGGTTTAAGGCACATTATAGATTTAAAGCACAGTAAATTAATTATGATAATAATTGAACTTGTATAAAATGATATAGAATGGAATGGGAGTTAAAATTCCAATATCCTTACATGAAATTATATGAGACAAAATAGAAGAACTGTATCCTGAATATGCAAATACTATTTGGATAGAAAAAGCAGTATGATTATGTATCTTATCTCATGAATTTGTGCAGAATTACTTTAAACCAGGGGTGTCAAACTGCCGGCCCGCGGGCTGGATGCGTCATGCCAAAACCGCGCCCTCCATTGCCGGCAATGAGAAAAAAGTCGTGACACATCGCAACGTGTCACATGACATCATGAGTTTGACACCTGTGCTTTAAAAAGTAATAGTGAAATTGCTAGCTAATCCTCATCCTTTGAAGTAAACAGCAAGAACAGACATCCCTTCATTCACTATAGAAATGGTATTTACAGGCTTTTAAAAATATTTGGTGCATGGAATTAGGTGCAAAGATGCAGAGATCAGAGGTGAAATCAATAGGCCTAAATTAATTAAAAACTCTTCATCTTAATGACTGAATTGGTATGAGATCTTTTGATCTTTTCTTAATTATACCATAAGTATGATGGTCTCTTCAGAGATGGAAAGAGTTTGTCTATTTCACTTCTACTGTTCTGTACCTGTGTGAAGGGATCTTCTCCAGCCTGATGTTTGCACATTATGAGAACTAGAACTCCCCAAATTCCCAGATGATGAATGGAATCTAGGAATTGTCAGAGTTCCAATGAGAGCATCATCAGACTAGTGAAGATTCAATTAGATTGCATGGCCATTGAACAATTATTGAATGTGTGTGTGTGTGTGTGTGTGTGTGTGTGTGTGTGTGTGTGAGAGAGAGAGAGAGAGAGAGAGAGAGAGAGAGAGTAGAAAGAGAGAGAGAGAGAGAGTAGAAAGAGAAATCTATTGGGAAAAAGGCAGTTTTATCATGAGCAGATATGTGTACACATAATCTGTAGTCATTCTGTAAAAAAAGCAAGGTTTGTATTTCTTTAGATCGAATTCAAATATGATCAATTTATTAACAGTACCTGCCACTAGGGAAATATGAAGGTACACTCATTGCTTGTCCCTGGTGTAAAGAAAATGTCTGCTTTAGAATATTTGAACAGCAGTGCCAATTTCTTCCTTCCTCTATTAACAGATCCATTGATCCAAGAGCAAGATGTATCGTATAGCAGTCTTCCGATGTGGCAGTTCATGACAAAAGTAACAATCATACTTTTCAAATCATATAAACATGTTTTCCTCAACATTGTTTTATAAAGGAAAAAATAGTTTATGAAATAGATTGTGGAAAAGAATTATTCGTATGACTATCTCTCTAGAGTTCCACACATGGATATAATTAAAATTGCCTAACGCAATAATGTTATATTCTGATACATGAAACCTCAACAATAGATTATGCATATATCTTTACATCAAAAACGTATTTTATGTAATGTATCAAAAATCTTAAATAATGGCAGATGATGAGAAATTGATAAAATTATCTTGAATGGGATAGGACAGTTGAGCTCTTGAAAAGAAAAAAATATATACCACTAAATATCTTACATATATATTTTGACATTAAATCGTGCATCTTCATTTTTTATTATAATTTCACTTTCACCATGATAGATATTGCGGCTTTGGGGAACATTGTCATATAATTTCTGGATCAAACAAGACATGAAGAATGCATTAGCTGTATTCAGCCCATATAGACATATTATCTTTCATCTACCAACATTTAGGGTTTATATTTTAATAGTATGCAATCACATGATACCAAAAGTCCACCTATCTGAATTATAAAACTCTCTAGGCTACAACTGTTCTACAATAAGCAATCAGTTAACTAAAGATTAAAAGACATTTGAGAATATGGTCAAGAAATTAAATGATTTTTTTAAATTATTAATTTACCATATAGAAAACTCCTCTAGCCCTAAGAATAGCAAGTGTATGCATGGTCAGGAACAAAACAACACACAAAACAGATTATTCAAGAAACTGAAGAAGACTTATCTTTCTTTTCTCCTATGCACACACACACACATACTGTACATATAAATGCATAAACACTCCTACAAAACTTCCATTTTTCCTTATATTGCATATTAGGTTCAGCTTACTTTTAAGTTAGATAGCTAATTGCAGTGCATTTTCTACATAGGCTCTTTTTCTGATACATATTTTCAAATACACTTCATGTAATTGAAAATATGCATCTGCTAATGTTCAAATGGTCAGACATTTTGCCTACATGTTAATTTAAAGAAATCTCTATTCTACTGAACAGATTGCAATGATTTTTCCATAACCATTCTGCCTCTTAATATTCTGAGAAATCACAATATTCCTCTTGCATATGAGATTTGAAGGAAAAAAATACCACCTATTCCCAAAACAATAATTTATGCAATAAATCTTCCACTCAAAGGAAAGGAGACAATCTATTTATTTCAGAATTTTAATGTTGATCTACAGTTCCAAAACTATAGATAACATATTGTGCAAATACAATCTAGTTATGTACTTTGATTTTTAAAAAACATCCATTTCAAAAACTCTATGTGGAAGAATTTCCTTCCATTTAATAATATCTCAATTTGTGATAATTCTCTCTCTATAGACACCTCTATATGGCACTTTATCCTGACAGCTGTTCTATTCTCTCACTTGCAAGTTCTTTCTCTTCTACTCTCCGACATGAGAGGATTTCCTTCCAACTTTAAAGAACATTACTATTCTCATGTTAAAAGCAAAAAAATGGCAATAGCTTTTTGATTTCTTTTGGTGCAAATATATCACTATACAAAACCCTGAATCTCAAAACATATTGTTTTACATAAAATTATGTTTTCAATTAAATTCAATTACTAAATTATTTTAAAAATAAATATTTTGATTTAGTATAGAAATTATATGTGATGCAATATATCAGTATGTCTATCAGTACTGAAAAATGGAAGGAATATAGAATTCATTTATGAAGCCAAGCTAAAATAGTGGGCAGAAATAATGAAAAAAAATATATAGAAATCATATAGAGAAAATGTGATAAAATAATTTCTAGATGACTCCCAACAATATGCAAAAATATGTGAGGCATAAATTTAGAGGTGCTTCCACAGTCTTTTACTTTTGAATTACCATCAGGTTTTATCTATATTTTATTTAATCTTAACCTAATTTCAATTTATTATAGCCATACCACTCCAAAGGACTCTGGCTTGTTAGGACATCATTGTTAGCCTACAGTATTATATAGTTTTCTTTCTTCGAGATCTGAAGTTGGATATTATTACACCACTCATTAAAGTATTTGAACTTTAAAGGACTTCTGAACCCTTATTTAAATATTTTATATTTATCTTTTGCTGCCACTTGGAATGGAATGGAATCTCCAAATTTAAGAGATATTTTAAAGTCTAGTTCAGTGAAAGCGAACCTTTTAGAGACCGAGTGCCCAAACTGCAACCCAAAATCCACTTATTTATCGCCGGGTGCCAGGTGGGCGTGGCCCACTGGGTGGCTGTGGTGGTGATGGCAGATTGGGTGGGTTTGGCCAAGGTGGGCGTGATCACTTCAATGTTGCTTGTGGGAAGGGATGCCTGTGGGGGCCGAACAGGGTTGGGGGAGATCCAGGGGGTCTCTGGTAGGTGGGGTGGTGGGCAGGAGGCTCGTGCTGCAGGGTGAGGCGAGGCAAGGCGAGGCAGGGCGGGGGTGCCATTGTCCACAGGGCAAGTTGAGGCAGGGGCCGGGGCAGCAGCTGCCTGACACCATCGGCCCCTGCACACAGGCCAGGAGCGCATGGGTGCTGGGATGCATCGAGCCACGTGGGACCTCGGCGAGTTAGCGGGCAGCTGGTTGAAGAGGGACAGTTGTCATCTTCGGGGCATGACGTGCGTGCCCACAGAGAGGGCTCTGAGTGCCGCCTCTGGCATGCGTGCCATAGGTTCGCCACCACTGGTCTAGTTTGAAGAGTTGCCTCACTCTTGAGAAAATATGGACAACAAAGATCAAAACCGCCATGATAAAAATGGTATCAGGAAGCCATTTGGATAAAATAGTTGTATGCTTACCTACTGCTAAGGGGATGAAAATACATACACAAGGACACAAAAAATGTAAACATGACATGTCAGAGATCTAGGATGAGGAAACAGTTTTACTTTATTGGTAATTATCCTTCATGTTTACCTAGCAGTAAAAAGTCACATTTTGTATGGATAATACAAACACCACACACTTCTCTGTTAGTTTCCATTCGTTGCTTCTTGTCTTGCCTTCAGGTGATTTGGAGAATAGCTTGACTCCCTCTTCTTTGTGGCAATTCCTAAAATATTGGAACACTGCTATCATGTCTCCCCTCGTCCTTCTCTTCATTAGACTAAACATACCCAATTCCAGCAACTGTTCCTTATATGTTTTAGCCTCCAGTCCCCTGATCATCTTTGTTGCTCTTCTCTGTACTCTTTTTAGAGTCTCAACATCTTTTTTTGCATTGTGGTGACCAAAACTGGATGCAGTATTCTACAACTGGATGTAGCCTTACCAAGGCATTGTAAAGTGGTATTAACACTTCACATGATCTTGATTCTATCCCTCTGTTAATGCAGCTTAGCACTGTGTTGGCTTTTTTGGCAGCCGCAGTACACTGCTGGCTCATATTTAAGTGATTGTCCACTAGGACTCCAAGATCCCTCTCATAGTTGCTACTATTGAGCACAGTACCAC